GATCTGCCATGAATATTCCCCAGGTATCACTTTCGGCTCTTACCCTTTTCGTAGCAAGTCCAGTTTTCGCCTAGCTCTCACACCCGATTCCAGCTCTACTTCTCCGATCTACCTTTCGCCAACCTACCTTCACCCCGATGAGCGCCTTCATTACCGCAACTCTAAGGTACGACATTACTTGTATTCAATTACGCGACACGCGGCGAGAGTGTTACGACGCGGAGACATCTGTATAGTATCATATGAGTGTGTTTGATTAGAGTGAAATAGACGCACGAAGAGTAGTTTTCATAATACTGTGTTTCTGTTATCTATCGACGCAACCTGGCGCTACCTTCAAAACGGGTGCCACTACGGCACCTACTAAACCGAGAACCTGGTAACGGGAAGTGAAAGACTTCCTTAGACATGGCCGGGTTCGGATTCGCATTGCCAGAGAAAATGAGAAACGCTTTTCCTCCACCTTATGTGGTTGGGTCAACTACCCGAATTAGGCGCTATGAATGACTTTGTTGCCGTGGGAAGGGATGAGCGGGCGTTGGCCAGCGGTTTCATATAAATAGTGGAGCGCGCCTCGGCTAAGACGCTTCGGGAAAGACGCTTCCTCGCAACATTGTTGAGAGGATTTGTAAGTGCGTGATACGGGGTTTCCTTATCGCTATTACTTTCTAAGTTTGTTCTTGTAGAGCTTCACTGAGAGAAACTTGTATTTCTTATCTATTATAGACTCTGAGTAAACTATTCGTTTCCTATTATTTCTTGTCTTTGTCTTCACTCTAGTTCCAGTCCTTCATACAACTCCTCTGTGTGTAGTGCGCATTACGCGTCCACAGTATGAAACGACGGCGGAACAGAGTTTCGTGGTTTCATAGATACAATAATGCATGCCAGCTCTGCCAGGGTCTACTACAGTGTCGTATCTAGGAGGTTGCATCCACCGGTGATGGCGCCACACGGTGCAACAGCGTAAAGGAGCCGACGGTAAATGGATCGGCTAAGATAAAGAAACAACTTTCCTTTTCAATGTAGGCTTAAAAACGAGCTAGGCAAGTGAAGAAATTACTGGCGTCGGACACTACACTCAAACATCGCATTACATCAGGAATCACAGTCTATATAGCAATCACAGCAAGCGACATTTTGTGTAGTTGAGCACGCCCTCTTAACACGGTCTACAGTTCACGTAGGTTCAGCCAACTCACTTCATAGCATAAACATTTCATTACCGTATATCTACACCTATATGAATATACTACTTCATGCTTATAGCTATATAAATTTCAGACTAATGTCTCTCAGACTATGCGCTGGCCCCATTAAGCTAGGTTCACACTGGCGATTTTTTGTCTTTGACAATCTTTGAAGTAAAATCTTTCAACATCTTCTGTAAAGATTTTTCAATTTATTATCAAGAAATCTTTCAGTAACATTTGTTCACACTATAGACTTTTGTCTTTGAAAGTTGATGAATGTTGTTGATTAACCAGACTATTAATAGTTTAGAGGTCAGCTGATATATGCTGTAGTACAAACCAGTAACAGTTCTAAAACAGTTCTAAGCAGTATGGATGAAGAAGAGACATTATCCCTTATAATCATGCATAGCCTGTATTATTAAAAAGAAAAAAAAAGAAAGAAGGAAAAGGAGGACAGCTTGGACAAGACCGTGGATAGCCAGGCGTAATGAATGCGGTGCATTCAGTCATTTACTCCCAGAATTATGAACGAGGACGAAAGGAGCTACAGAAATTTTTTCCGGATTAACAAGGATCAATATAATACAATATTGTTAAAAATCGAGCATTTTATAAGAAAACAAGATACACGTCTGAGACAGGCAATACCTCCTGCTGCGCGACTTGCGGTCACTCTGCGTTTTCTGGCAACAGGTAAATATAAAACTCTAAAATCAACTCGATCTAATCTTGGAGTAATAAGCTGACTCCTCAGAATTGATAAAAACTCAACTATTATGTTTTGGTTTTTACCCACATTTGTTCTATAACTATACTATAACCCGTGTGAATTAGCCCACAGTGATTAGTGACAGTCGGAATGACCTATATTTGGATAGATGGAAGAGAGGAGCATAACCAAACAGCATAGTGATTGGCTAATTTACCGGATTTACCACACAAACTGGAACTAGGAGATGATACCTGGGTACCGAGCACACCGGCCATGAATTGCCGCGACAGAGATGACGCGAAACTATTTTTACACTTAGGAACTGGCCAATCAGCGCGCAGCAAAATCGAGCAAATAGAACACGTTCTATTTTGCCCGACACATCAATTTCTCGATTTTTCAACTTCTCAACATCAACTTTTCTGTTCACACTAGCGATTTTGCATTAAGAAATTGAAAAATCGCTGAAAATCGCGCCAATTTCTCGATTCTACGACCAAAAATCGCCAGTGTGAACCTAGCATTAGTGAGTAGAGTGAATCTGCAATTCGTGTGGTAATCATGTAGTTGCGTTTACAACTGAGGAGGTTTACAACTGATCTTCTGCAATTCGTGCAGTAGCTATAATTACTCATGTACGTGGCCTATGACAGGTCGTCGGGGGGCAGCAACGATACGATACCGTAAATAAGGGGGGTTCTACACCCCTGCAGGAACCGGATCACCCTGTATGTCGTGTGTTTCACGTTGAGCACGACGCACGTTGCTCGTGATGCACGTTGAGGTAGCGTTGTCCCCTTTATCATCACTGACGATTCTTGCGCCAAGGCTCGACCGTTACACTCTGAGTCGTGTAGTCTGTCTGTTACGCCGATACCGCGTGTGGTGGTGGTAGGAGCACGTGGGGTGGAATCGCCGCGCTCGCACGGTCGAGCTCAGGTAGGTATCATGCGTGAATGGCTCTAATGTGTGTGGAGGGAAAGGGTATGCGGAAAGGGATGGGTCGTGAATAAGCAGGGGAGAGAGGGGTCGTGGATATACGGGGAGAGAGGGGTCGTGGATAAGCAGGGGAGAGAGGGGTCGTGGATATACGGAGAGGGATGGGTCGTGGATATACGGGGAGGCAGGCGGTCGTGAATAAGCAGGGCAGAGAGGGGGTCGTGGATATACGGAGAGAGAGGGGTCGTGGATATACGGGGAAAGAGGGGTCGTGGATATACGGGGAGAGAGGGGGTCGTGGATATACGAGGAGAGAGGGGGTCGTGGATAAGCAGGGGAGAGGGGTCGTGGATATACGGGAAGGGAGGGAGTCGTGAATAAGCAGGGGAGAGAGGGGTCGTGGATATACGGGGAGGGAGGGAGTCGTGGATATACGAGGAGAGAGGG